GGCTGGAGGGCCACCAGTGAAGATCACCCATCATGGATTCAATGCTTTGGAGAATAGTGAGGAGGAGAGTAACTTTGAAGACTGGATTTTCCCCACTGTGGATGGAGGACTATGCAATTGGGAGGCAAAGGACTTTGTTCCCATTACTTTCATCAATCAGTAATTTATCTTTCAAACATTTCTGTTGGTTTGTAATAATTCCTAAACAATTCATACACTTTTAGCCTTGTGTCTTGCCCGAGGCACATAGGTCCATTTGTAAGGGTTTGATTTTTCATCTTCATATGCCATTTTAATGAATCATGGGCGTTTTCACATATAAACTTTTGTGTTCATTTTCTTTTTTACATTTTATTTGTTTAAAGGTGGCTATCCCTTACACACACCCACACTCACCAATGCAGGTACCCATCCACTCCGGATTCCATGGGTAACAATTCTGCTATGGCCTTCAGTGACTCTGAAGATCTGGTCTACCATGTCGAATGCGAAGGTGATGAAGACTGTGAAGTGCCTGGAGAATTGGCTAGATTGCTACAACAGGAAAAAAGGGCTATTCTACCTCACGAGGAGTTGTTAGAGACAATCAACTTGGGTACAGAGGAGGACAGAAAAGAAGTTAGAGTGGGTGCCAACCTAGAGCCAAGTGTCAAAGAGCGCCTAATTCAGCTGTTGAATGAATATGTTGAGATCTTCGCCTGGTCATATGAAGACATGCCGGGACTTGATACAGATATTGTGGTTCACCGTCTCCCCACAAGAGAAGACTGTCTACCAGTCAAACAGAAAGTTCACCGCATGAGGCCCGACATGTCTGAAAAGATCAAAGCTGAAGTTATGAAGCAGTTCAATGCTGGCTTTCTTGCTGTTACTTCCTATCCACAATGGGTTGCTAACATTGTGCCCGTGCCTAAGAAGGACAACAAAGTCAGAATGTGCATGGATTACAAAGACTTAAACAGGGCTAGCCCTAAAGATGACTTTCCACTACCGCACATTGACATCTTGGTTGACAACACAGCTCAACACAAGGTATTTTCTTTCATGGACGGATTTTCAGGGTACAACCAGATCAAAATGGCCCCTGAAGATATGGAGAAAACTACTTTTGTTACACAATGGGGTACGTTCTGCTACAAAGTGATGCCATTCAGACTGAATAATGCTGGGGCAACCTATCAACGTGCTATGGTAGCTTTGTTTCATGATATGATACATCATGAGATAGAGGTCTACGTAGATGACATGATAGTCCGATCACAAACGGAAGAAGAACACCTCTACCATCTGCAAAAGCTGTTTGTCAGGTTGAAGGAGTACAAGCTCAGACTGAACCCTAACAAGTGCACTTTCGGAGTTAGGTCCGACAAACTTCTAGGTTTCATTGTCAGTAACAAGGGCATCGAGGTTGATCCTGCCACAGTCAAAGCTATACAAGAAATGCATGCCCCTCGCACTGAGAAGGAGGTCAGAGGTTTCTTGGGACGCCTAAACTACATTGCAAGGTTCATTTCTCATCTAACATCTACCTGTGAGCCAATCTTCAAGCTGTTGAAGAATGATCAGGTGGTTAAATGGAATGATGACTGTCAAGTTGCTTTCGATAGAATCAAGGAGTATTTGCTGGAACCTCCTATCTTGATGCCACTCGTCGAAGGAAGACCGTTTATCATGTATTTGATTGTCCTGGAGAATTCAATGGGGTGCGTACTGGGCCAACATGACGAGTCTGGCCGAAAAGAGCATGCCATTTATTACCTTAGCAAAAAGTTTACCGACTGTGAGACCCGATACTCACTGCTCGAGAAAACTTGCTGCGTTTTGGTATGGGCTGCTTGCCGGCTAAGGCAGTATATGTTGACACATACCACTCTGCTGATCTCTAAGATGGATCCGATCAAGTACATCTTCGAGAAGCCTGCTTTAAATTTGAGATCAAGTCATTGGCGAAAAAGGCCCTAACGATTATTTTTTTGATGGTAGAAATTTGGCGGGCACCTTGAAAAGTGGGGATAGAACTCTATTTTAAAGAGTTAGAGATGGGGAAGGAGGGTCACATCAACCAAATTTGACACCAGAACAACTTGAAATAAAAAGACAATTGGCGTTAAATGAGGCGAGACGCGAGTCAGCGCAACGTGAGGCGACAATGAAGGTCCAAATGGAGGCAATGAGGCAAGAACAACATCGACAAGTGGAGGTCATGACGAAGAGGCAGTCTGATATGGAGTAGCAAATGAGACAATTTATGCAAGAGTTTGGTAGAAATCAAAACTTTCGTGGTCAAGAGCCGAAGGATGACGAAAACGAAGATAATTTTGACATTGATAACTATACCAACCAAGATGACCCGTAGAATTAAATAAATTTTTTTTTTAATTTTGTTTTCAAATTTGAATTTGTATAACATACTAATTAATTAAACATATTTAGTATATTAAATTTAGAAATCTTAAATTTATAATTTTAGTTTATTAATTTTATTATATTAAATTCAATATATTAAATTTATTATATATTGAATTTATTAATTTAGTTTATTATATATTGAATTTATTAATTTAATTAATTATAAAAGAAAAATAAATTTCAGTAATTAAATTAAAAAAGCAAAACATTAGTGTGATGTTTATTGTTTATGTCACAAAGTTGTGACATATAAATCACGTCGCAACTTAATTTTTTTTTATAAAAAAATAATAATTGAACAGAATGCTGAAGTGGTAAATATAATTAATTAGTGACGTGATTTTCATGTCACAAATTAGTGACGTGAAAATCACGTCGCAACTCTTTTTTTAATAAAAAAACAAAGCTGAATAAAGTGTGAATAAAGTGTTGGCTGTTAAATGTAATCATTTAGTGACTCGATTTTCACGTCACTAATTTGTGATGTGAAAATCACGTGGCAAATAAAGTGCTACTTGACTTCTACGCCTGCTATGCTCGTTGTCATTGTAATTTTAGGATTTCTGTGCAAGCAAGTTGCGACGTGATTTTCACGTCACAACTTTGTGACATAAAAATCACGTCGCAATAAATTTGTCACCCGTTTCTTAGCCACGTGATTTTTCACGTCGCAAATTAATTGTAGTGACATGATTTTTCACATCGTGAATGAGAGTTTTTTTATAGTGATAATATTCAAAACAAACCATTTGAACCATATGATTTAAAGATTTGAAGAATAGTAACATAAAATAATTATCTGATGGATCAAATTTGGAGTATAACAACTAACTTCAAGAACAAGATAAAAAAACTACATAAATGGTCAAACCTTTAATGGAGAGTACAAGATTAAGTAGGGGATGCAAGCTTATGATGGGGGACATGGAGAATAAGCACTGGTCTATGATGGTTTGGGTAAGATACAATATTCCAAAATATAGTTATATGTACCGGCTGTCTGTGCAGGATAGAATGAAGAATAGAAACCGACTCAAAAATATTGGATTATTGATTCTGCTGTTTGTTTGTTATGTGGCTTGTAGGAGGAAACTATAAATCACCTCTATTTTGAGTGTGATTATAGCTCTAGATGCTTGGAGCAAGTCAAAAAGTGGCTGAGATGGAATATGCAGAGCAACAACATTCAAAGCATTACCAGGTGGATTAATAAAGCCAGCATAAGTAGCTTCAAGAAAGGTATTTTCTCTGCTATGTTTGTTGGGCTAGTCTACTACATTTGGAAAAGCAAGAATAAGGTTCTTTGCAAGTCAAGAAATTTGGTATGATAATATGTAAGGTTTGTAGACCAGATTGTATATATTTGTTGTGTTTTAATTAATATAATGACTTGATATGTTTTGATCTTCAATAATATATATTTATGTTATAAAATATTTAAATTAATTTTCAATTTAAAAAAATAATTAAAAAAAAACTTATAATATTTTTAAAAATATTATTATAAAAATCATTTTTAAAAATTTTAAAAAAATTTTAAAGCTAAAAAAAACAGACACATACCCTAATGAAAAAATATTTTACCTTGCTATATTCAGGAGGAGCCTATGAAATTTTCTTTGAATCAATTTATATTTAGTTGGTTTTAGTGTCAATTTTAGTTTTCTTTATTTTGCCAAAACTTTTATTATTGAAAAATTCAAATACCTTTTCTCATTTAACATTGTGTATCTCATTTAATATAAAATTAAGATTGAATACTATTTATTATGTTAAAATGATTCTATTAGATGCAAATGATAGTGAAATTTCAAATCTGTCCTTGAGATATTAATACTATTCTGTTTCTTACTGGCATTAGGATGCAGTGTAGTAAGAAACACAAGACCTCAAATGATAATAAATTGATGTGGAAGCTGTCAACAACAAATAAAGGAGAGTGCAATGCAATACTATTGTTATTTTTATCATCAAAATAGCTGTGTCTTTCTCTCAGTTTCATTTCCCAAGAAAAGTCAGATACTGTATTTATTTATCATATCAATATCACTCTCTCGCTCTCTCTCTCTCTCTCAAATGCTTTTCATTCATTCAATTTCAAAACGCCAAAACATCTCTGATCACTATTACTACTATGACTCACTCACTCCATCCACCAAAAGATGAAGCTGATAATAACATTGCTGATCAAAGCTTTTTCCTAACATGGTTTCTGAATTTTCAACAACTTTAAAACCTTCATAAATGCATTACACTAAAACACATACAAATACATTGAAACAGAAAAAAATCCAGAAACATGACAGTACTCTCTATTTTGAGGTTTACTTTTGCATCAGCTCAGATACATCTATGGCTATATCTATCTATCTGAACTAATCTTCATTGCATCACACAATGGATGTTCCTCATACATATATCTATCTATAATCTATCTGCTTTTTCTTCTGCTTTCTTGGAAATTAACAAGATATAATGGTGAATGGTGATCAAAGTACACACAGATACCTAGCTAAGATAAGCTATAGCTATAGTTTAGCTTCTCCTGATTCTCACTTCTTCTCGTTAACTGTTCCAGCACATCTCATCTCTCACCTACTAACTTCAATCAATACTTGATCTTGAGACAATACTGTATCAGAAAGTGCCGATATCGACGCCGATATTTTTACATCACATTCGCAACAACAAAAATCACATATTGTTAATGCTCACTTAATAGTAAAATATAAAATGTGAAATGACAAATGAAGAAGGGTTATAATACTGTTATAGTTATAACTCAGAGTGTTATTGAAAGACCTAGCTAGGGTTTTGGGTTTACAGATGAAAAGAAAGAATTTCACTTGTGATAGGTTTTGACACTGTTGATGCTTTCTTGCCTTCCCACGTGAAACAAACATTCCTGCTGCATTTGAGGGAGAGGTAGGGGCCTGGTGTGGTCACAATATTAGCCATAAATTATTATTATACCAGAAAACTAGAGAGATTTGCGCACTGTTACTCTTTTTAAATCACATAATCTAATAACTGAAAAGTTTCAGATCCAGAACTTTTAAAGCGGTTTTAACTTTTAACCATTACGAAAAAGTACTGCATAAAATGAACTTCTTAGAAAAATGGTACTGTTCTTCTTTCTTGCTTGGAATTCATTCATTGACACTGCTTAGTAGAAGATAAGTTGATGATTATTATTAGAGTAGAAAATTCTGACCTAAAGATATGAAGGAGGAGCAGAAAGCCTTACCAAAACCTTACTAACAGAAGATGATTGAGAAATCGAAGGTAGCAAAAGTTGGTCAGGGGGAATGAAGCCTGGTCCGAGATTGAGTTGAGAGTTATAAGTACTCATCAATCTCGGTGACCTCGAGCCAGACAACGTTCCTCTCAACCTAACTCTTGCGTTTCTTTGATATTTCTATAGAACACATATAAGATGAAGATGAAGAAGATGGAATAATAAAGATTTTGAGGGGAATGAAGCCTGGTCCGAAGCCTTATAGTTCATACAATTAAGAATGAACTTCTTTTGTGAAACTGAAAAGCCTCGAGCCAGCCAACATTCCCCTCAAATGAAACATCTTCACCTCTCTCACTCTTTGATGATGATGAAAACCCTAACCCTCACATACCTTCTTATATATAGCAAGGTGAGAGAGAGGCACATTTAATTGTGAGTGTTATGAGAGAGAGAAAGATATACTAGTAATAAGCACTGACTCACTCACACTACACTAATGCTGCTTTTTACTTACTCATTCACATGTTTCTAAATTAGCTTATGCAAAAAGCTCCTGTTTTCAACTAACTACTATAGGAGTAGTTAAACTTAAACAACAATGCCACAAAACATTCTAAATTTTGTATTATTTTTTATGATTAACTATCATCTTACTCGAATTCGGTTGGAAACAGCATATCTGTTATAAAAATAGAAATAAAATTGCGTATATCTAATAATTTTAAAATCTATAAAATAGAAGTCTCATGCACTAGATTACCGTTTTTTATAACAAAAAAATTATATTATTTTATAGGACGCATCTTATATTGTATAAGTATTTTTCACTTGTTTTAAAGTATATATATATATATATATATATATATATATATATATATATATATATATATATATATATATATATATATATATATATATATATATATATATATATATATATATATATATATATATATATATATATATATATATATATATATATATATATATATATATATATATATATATATATATATATATATATATATATATATATATATATATATATATATATATATATATATATATATATATATATATATATATATATATATATAATAATTTTATAAAACTAATTTTATTAATTATTGTGTCTTTTACACCATCATAAATGCAAATTAAAATAATACCTTGGAAATATTAAATATAATTATAAACAGATGACATAGTTAATATTGCATTAAAAAAAAATTTAAAATAAAAACGACATTACTTTAAAATAGAATAAATATATTTATATGTTAATGGTCAATCTCTCTAACGTCATTTTATTACATTATAACGATTTTTAATTAAATTATTTTTTCACCTTTTATTAAAAAAATCTAATGATAATGAGTATTGTTGCCATTGAAAAATTATATTTCACTATAAAAATTATTTATTTATATTGATTATATTTTAGAAAGATGTGATTTTCGATAAATAACAATGTATATATTATTAAGTATATCTTTTTTAGAAATATATATTTACAATACTTCATCATTAATGTTGATAAGTATTTATAAAGTATGATAAATCAAATGAAAATAAATTTACATTAAAATTTAACTATTAAAAATTATTTAATGAATAAATAATATAGTAGATTAATATAATATATATTGTATAAAACAGTATATATTAAAATATATAATATAATATACATTTAACTATTACAAATTTTACTTAATAATAAATAAATGATAAGATACATCTTAATTTCCTTTTTAAAATGTCTATCAACAATTACTTTTCCAAATATAAGAGTCTTCTAAAAATATATAATATATTATTTATGACTAGAGGAAATATTAGAAAAACTAACAGAATCTACCGTATATTTTGTAAATAAATAATTTGCATTGGAATAATCTGATGGTGCCGGTGAACCAACCGACCTGTTTACCTGCTACCCACAATTGCTCAATCACAGTCAAAGAGATAAAACAAGACAAAATGAATATTTTATTTTGAATATGTGATTTTATTTAATCATTACCTTATTATTATTAGCCTTTTCTTATCCCTATTTTCAGTTTCATATGTACCATGCTAAATGCTTTGCATGCAGGACCACATCATATTATTCTGAACAAAAAAATTATTTGATTTTATAATATAGGATATATTTTTCTAATCTCTTTTATAAAGATATAAGAGAAAAATATGCAAATATTTTCTTCAGCCTTATTTATAAATAATTTTTTAAAAAAAATTTATTGAATAATAAATATATTTAGTCTCCATAAAAGATTAAATATATTTATTATTTAAAAATCTAAAAAGAAAATATTTTCTTATAATGATAATAATATGAGGGAGTATGTTAATCCATATAGGAGAAAATTTCTACCTGTAGTTGGATGGTCTAGTTCAGCTATAGAGACAATAGTCTATGCCTTTTGTGTCACACCAATCGTTTCAATTATTGGACTTGACAAGAAAATTACATTGACTATATTTCTTTTGATCTCCTTTTGTATGATTTGTACTAGTACGTGCTGTAGGGCATAGTTTCATTCACATTCATGTTAGTTTGGCATATGGTCCATCTATTGTTATGGTTATTGTGTGGGGGATAGTTTCCTCTAATAATGTTAAGGACATGTTTGTGTATATATTTATGTTAAAAAAATTAAATTACAATGGAAATTATAGATTAATTAAATTTTTTTAAATATAATTAAATGTAATAAAATTATATTTAAAGTTTTAAAACATTGAATATTCTAATAGAATATTTCTACAAATAATTTATTAATATGTGTTTCAAAGGTACATGCTAGCTTTTTCCATGCAATAAAACATAAAAATTATGAGGTTATTTTTTAAGTTTTTGAGTTCATGAAATTTTTCAACATTTATAGGAGCTCTCTTACAATCGTGATGTGGACAAGCCCTCAACACACTATAAACTCTAAAACCAATCAACCTTACATAAATAAGAGTTGTCACTATAATATACTTTTAGTTAGTATAATTGGCGTCCATCATTTGGTCAGGTAAAACTGATATGTGCCATATTTATCTTCCGTTCATTAGCCTTCTCAGCCACTTTCTTCAACATGGTCGCAGGACGAAGTGCCATAACACCCACTAACGCAGATGCACCCATTTACATTATAGTATGAGGGTTTGCTATAGGAGGAGAATCCAGTTCTTCTCGTTGGAGGTTTGATAGACGGGTTTTGGCGGAAAATGATATACTTGTCAGTTTTAAATCGAACTTTGAAAAGGAGCCAGATCCCGAAATATCTGTTCTAGTAGAGATGTCTCCATAATGCGCCCTCACAACAATGATCACATGGTCATAAAAGTGCAACGTAATAATTGGGATATAAATCAGGTTGATTGACTCTAGAAGCTCAACTGATGTCTTGTTCTATGACACATTTGAGAGACTCCGACTAGATCCATATGAAATTTGAACATTTCAAGGTTCCCTGGTTGGGCTGATGATGGGAACATACAATTGAGGAGCCATATAACTCTCCAAATGATGTTTGGACTGAAGGAGAACACAAAGAAAATCAAGGTCATGTATCTCGTAGTATACACCCGTTCCCTAAACAACATCACCGTGGGGAAGCCCTCCCTAAACCTACTGGGAGCAGCCTCGTCAACCTTGAATTTAAGTATGAAATATCCGCTAGAGTGAAAAACAAGGGCGCTGCTTATTAGAGACTGGTGGGTGTAATATTCTCAAAGAAAATAGAGACTAATTTATAGGTATACATTGATGATATGATTATAAAGACTGTAGAGGAGAAAAGCCACTATGTAGACTTGGAGGACATCTTGAAGCCAGTCAAGTGGTATAACATGCACCTGAACCCTGCCAAGTGCTCTTTCGGAGTTTAGGCAGGCGATTTTATGGGATTCATGCTAACTAGAAAGGGGATCGAGGCAACCATTAACAAATATCAGGTTATCATAAACACGAGGAGTCTTTCTAGCATCAAGGAGGTTCAACAACTAACATGATGTCTAACTGTGTTATCAAAGTGTATATGTAGAAAATAATAATTTATGTCAAGTGGCGTTCAGTGAAGTCGACGAAGATCTCTGATCAAGTGGTTTGTGTGATGATGATGGTTATCTTGAAAAGTATATCAAGCCTCATAAGAGTAAGATTCAATGTTTCAAGGAAGATCTAAAGTTAAAGATAATGTGACAAGGAACCAGAAGCTTTAGAGTTGTTAAAGAGAGGAAGTGATGAAAGCTCCTCGAGTCTGTGTCGAGTGACTAATGTTTGTAAAGGTAAAAGACTAACTCTCAAATTTATTAAGGAAAATCACACACTCACTTTCAACCCTTAGGCTTAATGAATTTTTCCTTTACAGTTGTTGTACCCCAATTTTTGCCCCTAAGATTCCTCTATCATATCATATCAACTCGATCATAACAAGATCACATTAGGGTTGGTTCTTCCTCTTTTTTCCTATCTTTAAGTTTGCTCTTGAGGAATCTCCAAGCACCTTGGTTGTGTATTTTGTATATGTGTTGTTGACTAACTTCTAATCAAAATACAAAAAATATCTGTCTTTGTCTTTGTATATTTTTGTTTTGTAGGTACCAAGTCGAAGCATCTGACAAATAAGGATTTATGGTATTATTTTCCTAAAATCTCTATTTGCAAAGAAAAAGAATTAAATATTTTCATTTTTTTCACTGATGCAATCAATTGCTCTTAAAGTGCAATCGATTGCACATAGTGTATTTTGCGCCATTTTTGAAAAAAATACACTGTGCAATCGATTTGCACTGTAGTGCAATCGATTGCACAACGTGAAAATTAAAAAAAAAAATCAGCATTTTAAACTTGTCAAATTTTGGTTCCAATTTTCCTTCATTTTTGAAAGATGTATCATTAATTCAAATTTTAGTGCCAATCTTTCATTTTTAAAAAGAATTATCATTAATTCAAATTTTGGCTCTAATATTTGAAAGAATTATCATTAATTCAAATTTTGGCTCTAATTTTTGAAAGAGTTATCATTAATTCAAATTTTGGCTCCAAGAATCAATTACCAAATTACCACTAATCCCAATCCTAAAACTCTATAAATAGAGCTCTCATTTCATTC